AATAAATATTTATTTTTACTCCCTGGAGCTTTTAATTCAGCTGCCATCAACAGGGAAACATGGCTGAAAATAGAAATCATTTCATTTTTCATTTTTATGTTTTTGTTTACATCCGCCTTTATTATTTTTACAAATTACTTGAGGCAGGGAACCTATCCCACATCTTTCAACTTATTTTCCCGGCAACAACCCTGTGAGGCAGGCTAGGCTGAGAGAGCGACTGGCCCAAGGTCACCCAGCTGGCTTTCATGGCCAAGGCAGGACTGGAACCCATGGCCTCAGGCTTTCTAATGCAGGGCCATAACCACTAGGCCTTACTGGGTGTCCTGGGTGTTTGTTGCGAATGGTCATCATTGAAGATGGGAGGACTTCAGCTCCCAGAATTCATGCCTGTTTGGGGATTCTGGGGTCGGAACTCCACAGATCTTAAAAGTTGTGAAGGTTGAGAATATAGAGGAACACTGACATACACCAGCGTCCATACAGACAAACACGCATGTTTGAGGCTCTGCATCTTTAGGAAAATCAATCGCTGTTCAAGGAGAAGGAGAAATGCAAGGATCCAAACCCAAGTTCAAGGCCAGAGGTTGTGTGAGGTGAGTGTGGCTGGCAGGGCCCTTGCTCACTTTTGCAACAAGCATCTGAAGAACGGGAGACAAATTGTTATGAAAGTGATAATTAACCCAGATCCTGACGGTTAAGATTCAGCAACTAGTAGGATCCAGGAAGTGTGACCTTTCTGCTGCAGACCTTACCCCATGGAAGAGCCCTTTCTGGAAGGCCATGCTGTTGCAGAAATGAGACCAGACCAGCTCTTTGTCGAAGGGAAAGGTTTATTGCGCAAGGTTCAGCAGTGATAGCTCAAGCAGAATCTGAACCCCGAAGGGCAGATGGTTACAGGTTTTTATACTTTATCAGGCAAGATATTGATCATTCTCCTAAATACACATTCTTCACATTCACGTATGCCTCATACACATTAACCCCTAGTGACGGGATATCTTGATTGCCTTACGAAGATAAGAATCTTACCAATTTCCTGCCTAAACCTAGTCAGGTAGATAGGGTATTTAATCCCCTGTGGAATGGGTAAGGCTCGGGGCATTCTTGTCCGGCTTAACTTTATATTTTATATTAACCCTTTACTTTAATGCAGCCTCCCCCCCCCACCTTCTGGAAGGCTTTAGAGATTCCCCCCCCCCCAATGTCTGGGACAGAGGAAGGCTGGGAATGGAGGGTTGGAGATTGTGGTGTGTGTGTGTGTCTGTGTGTGCAAGGGTGTGTGTGTGTGATTCTTTTTGGTTCTCTTGGTTTTGGTTTTATTTTTGTTGTGGAAACCCCCCCACCCCACCTCCCAAGTTGTGTCTCACAAGAGGGGCGGACACAAAAGTCAAAGGGACGGAGAAATGTTTTCCCAACAAATAAGTCACTCTGTGGGTTAGATTTTAAGTTTCTAAATGTGATAATGAATAAGCACCAGTGGTCCTTGACCTAATGGAATCTGCCCATTATGGGTCTGGGTCATAGGTCCCATTTGGGGATGTGTCCATCATAGCTTCCAATGGTCGCAAGGTGATGGCTGCCTGTGGTGAACCCCCATGGCTGCCTCTGCCCTCCAGCTGTGCCTGATGAGCTCTGGGCTGAAAGGGGGGGACCGACCCAAACTGAGCCTCTCCCACTTGAGTTGAGAAGGGAAGGAAACAGCCCCACACAGGAAGGGCAACAAATAATGAAACCCCCTTTGTTGGCAGGAGGAGCTGAAGGCTCACAGAGGCACATGGGGGGTGTGGGAGGAAGAAGAGCCTCCATGAGACCTGAGGAGCATCCGGGTACCAGGCGCCTCTGGGGAACCAGGTGTCAGGATCAAGGGGCTCACAGGGGGCTCCGCCTTGTGCTTGGAGGAGGTTTCTGGCCCTGAAGTAGCCAATAGGAGTCAGGCTGATCCCAGTTCAGGAATGGTGTCATAAAGGACATTTCTATGGGGTCAAGAGGGAAAAGGCCACTTCCAAGGTAAAACAGCTAGACAAACATTGGGCTGTGTTGGGCTGAGGAGGAGATGCCATTCCATGGAGGACGGAGGAGGAGGAGGAGGAGAGAATTAACCAGGGTTAAAGGCAAACGAGGAGTTAAGGTGGGTCCTCTTTAGTGAGGTTCAGGAATCCCACAAAAAGATCCCATTAAACGTACATTTTTTCAAGTGATATTTTAATGAAAAATAGATATATTGGGTTTGGACAGATGGAAATAAGCAAATCAAATATTTAATGTCACATGATTTAGGAACAATAATAATGTAGTATCTCAGTAAAGAGTCAGAATAGACTTAAAGGAATGTAAATTTATGGTTAAATCCACAAGTGTGCACACAATGCACACACAACAGCCTCACAGTAACTGAATTTGGGGTCCCATGAAACGCAACTTGGTGTCAATTTACAATTTGCAATAAATAAACCACGTCTTTGAAAGTAGCACTTCTTGTGACTTACAATGTGTGTCCTGAGTATGATGCGGGTCATTTAATCCTGGGAGTGTCAGTCACATTTAGGTGGCCACCACTTATCTGCCCTCAAGTGCAGAGATCCTTCCAAATCCCAGCCCAGGACATTTCTCCTAAAGTTCCCCTTTGAATGCAACACAGGGAGTCAAAAGTGTCCAGGAAGGGAGGATGGAGCCCAAAGAATCAGGATGGCACCTGTTTGTAAACAACTGGCCTCCTGTCCGTTTTAAAGGGCATCACACACAGAGCTAAAAAACAACAACAAGATTCTGACTAAACACTATGGTGCGATTTCTCCGCGGGTCGCCCATGAGGCCAAAGATGAAGGAAGACACGGACACGAGTTCCCTTCGGGATGAGACGACCCGGAGCATAGTCTGGATGCCTCTTTTATTGAGCATACACAAAGAAAGGGTGGAGTTGCAAGGTCTATGTGGACCAATCATGGTTGTACAAGTCTATGGTATATGGTAACTCATTTACTGCCACACAGACCTCTGACCCTAGAGAATGCCCATAGTCAGCAAATAAATCTTTTACTAGCATGCAAACTTCTGACCCCACTTAATACTCAGAGTCAGCAGGTTGTAACCTCTGCCCTACTTAGTGCTGAGAGTTAACAGGTTGTAACCTCTGCCCTACATAATGCTTCAGAGTCAGCAGTTTGTATTACTGACCTTATGGTAAATCATTACTGCTGTTCCGCATAGTGTTCCAGCATACCTATGCATGCCTACTTATGTTACAACACTATGGCACAATTTGACTGCCCTCTTGAGGTTTTTGACATCCTGCCAATCCAAACCCTGAAAACAGTCCTCTTGATTATTTTGAAGAATAATTTTATTAAGGATTGTATTTGCAGATCCAACAAAGAAACAATACAAGTGTGTGTGTGTCTGTGTACATAAAAAAGACAATGTGAAAAAAATCCCTCCAAAAATGATAAGAAAAATAAACTTCCTCTTCATCTTTAGCAACCATACACAACATCAACACTTTATCCCTAAATTAAAAACTGATGCATCTTCATTCCATCCTCACCCAATTATCTCCTCTCTTAATCTTTAGTTCTCCTTATTTATCAACAAAGTCTAGTAAGAATTAGGAAAAATACCTGGGTGCCTTCACTTACAACTGTAGCAACCTATGTGTCAGCGTTCCAAATAACATCCAAAATTTGATAAATCAGAGTCCAAGGCAGAGCTTTCCTCAAACTTCCAATTTCTTAAGAGAGACATGTTGGCACATCTGTGGAAAACCCGAATCTGAAAACTTCCCGTGTTTTCCCACCCAGTGGAAAGTTCATGATCTTGTCCCCACACCCACCAGTCCATCACATGGTCCAATCTTCCACTGCCATGCTGGCATTTCCACCCATTCAGTTCCCATCAGGCTCAGTTGTGTAAATGAGCTTGGTTTCTAGAAGGATTTTTTTATTTTGACAACAACACATTCTACTCCTTACTATTTCCCCTCCCAATTACCCACTAATGAAAAAACATAGTAAAATAATAGAGTGTATGGCAGGCCAAAGATCCTAAAAGGAACCAGCTGCAGGCCTGACAGTATGACTGGAAATCCATTCCATGTTTTGGTCCTAAGTTGAGGATTTCCTTTTCTCTGCAAAACATTACAACTATTCCCCACATAAATTATAATGCGGCTTTGTGAGCAAATCATCCTCACATTCCCAACACTTATGCCCTTTTGCCTCATTGTCTTCTCTCTGATGGGATTTGAGGTTGCCTGACAAGGAAAAGCATTTTCCCCACATCAAATAGTTCTTCGATTTCCCTTCTGTCATTGTGTGAAGTTCCTGGTAAATGTTAACATCTGAATATAGAAAAAAAAGGCTTTCCAATGTTGTTCACAGCTGAAGAGATTTATCTCTGCTATGGACTTTCTGGTGCTTTTTTAGCTTTGAATTACTAGCAAAAGGTTTCTTGCATTCTGCACACTTGTGAGGCTACTCTCCTGTGTGACTTCGGGTGTGCATGTGAAGTGCTGAAGGTTGGGCAAAACATTTCCCACATTCCAGACATTTATATGGTTTCTCTCCAGTGTGGATTCGTTGATGCTTCACAAGAGACACTTTTTGTGAAAAACATTTATTGCACTCTGAGCATTTGTGAGGTTTCTCTCCTGTATGGATTCGGCTGTGAACTCTAAGGGCAGATGACTCAGCAAATGCTCTCCCACAGTCCAAACATTTGTGATTTTTTTCCCCCGTGTGAATTTTCAAATGATTTCTAAGGGTTGATGAGGTACGATAAAATCTTCCACATTCATTGCATTGATATGGCTTCTCCCCTGTGTGGGTTTTATGATGTGTCCAAAGGACTCCCATTTGAGCAAAACATTTTCCACATTCTGCGCATCTGTACGGCTTCTCTCCTGTATGGACCCTCTGATGGGTTGCAAGGTGTTGTTTTTGGGAAAAGCATTTCCCACACTCCCCACATTTGTAGGGTTTCTCCCCCCTGTGGATTCTCTGATGAACCTGTAATGCTCCTGGCGAAAAAAAACTTTTCCCACACTCCCCACATTGATTCGGATCCTCCTCTTTGTGCCTTTTCTGGTGACTCCGAAGTTCATAAGAATACACAAATCGTTTCTCACATTCTGGGCATTCATAGGGTCTCTCTCCCGTGTGACGTCCCTGATGTCGCATCAGAGTTGATTTCGACATAAAACATTTCCCACATTCGAGGCACTTTTCGTTTTTCTCCCCTCTGTGTGTTTTCCAATGACTCCGAAGACCTGAACTCTGGGTGAAACATTTTCCACACTCAAAGCACTTGTAAGATTTTATTCCTGCGTGAGTCTTCTCATGGGCCCAAAGACTTGAGTTCTGAGAAAAGCTCCTCCCACATTCCCAACACTTGTAAGGTTTCTCCCCTGTGTGTATTCTCTCGTGGTTTCTGAGAATGGCTTTTTCACGGAAAAAAATCCCACATTCCAGACATTGATAAGGTTTCTCTCCAGTGTGGATTCGCTGATGTGTACGAAGGCTTGGCTTATGAGCAAAGGATAAGTTACATTCCTCACATTTATAGGGTTTTAGTGTTGTGGGGCTCCTAAGATCTTCGTTATTTTTTCCAGAAAAGGATTTTTGACCCTTCAAATCTTGACTGGATCCACTCCCCATATGGACCTTCCTGTGGGTCGAAAGGAGGGACCCATGAGCAAAGGATTTCCCAGACTCTGAGCATTCATAGGATTTTTTCGGACTCCTGCTTATGTCTGATGGGGGATCCAAGAGCTTCCCAGACTCCATCATTCTTTCGGGCGGCTGCTGCCTTGGGCTGATTTTCTACCCTCTGTTGTCTTCAAGGTAAATCTTTTATCCACTGTTGGAAGGAAAAAAGAAGAGTATTTCCTTTTTGGAAATGTAGAGAGTCACAAAATCTCTAGAAGGAAAACACTTATGCTGTTGTGGTCATTAGGTGATTTTTGGGAGGTTGTTAAGTGAAGGCAGACACAGGGAAGAGATGGGGGGTGCCTGAAGGGGGTGACACTGCCCAGTGTCACGGCTACCACCCAGAAATGCACCCTTAATCCCCAGACCGGAGACCTCTGCAGCCTTCCTGCCATCCTCCAAGCCGCCTGTTCCATGTTGTTTCCAAGCAAAGTGTCCCAAAGCATCTCTAAGCTTCTCCAGGAACCCCTCAAGTCAAATGCAGACTCTGCTGGGACTCTGATGGCCTCTCTCCCCCACAAGACAAAGCCGTGCTTCTCACCTGGGATTTCATTCACTCAATGACCAGTGAAATCATTATACTAATTGAGCAAAGCCATCACGTGATACCTCGCATAATGACCACTTTGCTAAACAAGCGAGATTCCAATTCCATTGGTAGTCATAAGTCAAGGACTACCTACAGGCACCCCAAAAGATGAAGGCATCACGGAAGCCAAAGAGGAGGAAAGAGAGTTGAGGTGAATGTAAGCAAACCATTTTTTCTTCCCTTTTCTGATTATTCCACTTACAAGCTCCATCCCATCATGACTCCTTCATCCTGGCTTCCTTGTGACACATTGGCTCCCCCTGCATGGATCCCGTCCACGGCTCAGTCTCTTCCTCTTGGGAAGACCATGCGACTCTCCTTCTTGCTGTTTGTGTGCTGTTTAAAACTGCCACCTATCTCATCGAGGGGCTGCTCCAGGCTTCAACTTCTCCCCAAAAGCCATGACTCCAAGCAGGAAGGGCATTTCAATTGTTTAAAAACCTTGTACCTGGCCAGAAGACAGTTCTGGTGGCCCAAGATGAAAAAAGGAAGTCGAGGACTATATTAAAAGAGCCAATTTCATTTTTCCAACAAAGCTTTTGTGATGGATCTATTACTTGGAATCCTGACATTTAGAAGATCACACAGGAAAGGAGGATGGGGAAATGGCTCCGATTTGCCGTTTCATTCTTCTCCAGGGGCGACAGCACAGGCACCCCGAAAAAGATCATTGCCGATCAGAGGAAGTAAAGCTACACAGAGCTTCCCAAAATTGAAATGAATGATCCTGTTTGTTATCCCAACTGGCCCCGAAAGCAATAGAAGAAAAATAAATAAACCAACAATCTGTAACATGGCTTAATCCTGGGCTAAATTTGATCCTAACGTTTCTGAAGGGGGGGTGGGGTTCACTGAATACCTTCAGAAGGAAAAGACCCAAATAAAGGATCCGCAATAAAGGATCTAGAGAATTTCAATTAATGTTTAAGCTTTAGGAGAAGGCCTAAGCGCTTCAGCTTACTAAATTGTAACCCCAAGTGCATTATGGGACAAGCCCTAAACAGGAACAATCTGCAGACCTCATAGCTAAAATTGTATCATTGAAAAAAGACCCAGTTTGGGCTGAGAGAACATTTCCCCATAAAGGGACAGGATGAAAGTTGGGCAGGCACAGCCCCACCTCCACTTGAGTCCCCAGGCAGCCTCTTTGGGCTTCAGGGCTGCATCCATGCAGCCGATGCGACTCCCCCACTCCGTAGCCTTCTGCCCAGGGTCCACCTCCAACCTGACCGAAAGCGCCTTCTTATAACTAAGATAAACAAATTATGCCTTCACTCTGCACCTTGGTAGAAAAACCCAATTTCATTGCATTGCCAAATAAAGATTTTTTAAAAACATATTTTCCAAACCAGGTTTCATTGACTCACCTTCAAGAGGTCTCTGGGCCACTTGTTACCCTTCTCAGTCAAGGCCCGGGATGACCCCTCACTGCTGACCAGTTTGATTTCTCCTTAACTGATTGGCCCTTTGTGCAGGAAGCTGCTTCTCAAACAGGGACACAATTTCTTAATTTTCTAAAAAGGCGTCCGGGCCAAAATTTTGTGGTTTCTGACCCAATAACGTCCTTCTTCTCTCTGGAGTTAACCTATAAATGACCTGGATGAGGAAGGGAAAAATAGGGTTGTTTGTGGAGGTTACAAAATGAAGAAACCAGCAGGATGAAGCCCAAGAGGGACCAATGCATAGTTGTGAGTAGGAAAACTCAAAGGAAGGTGAAAGGAATCAAGGGGGGGGGAAGAGCATCAATGAAAGGGGCTGCTCTTTCCTGCTCTTTTTGGAGGCTGCAAGGCCATAAGAATTCCAGGCATCCTGGGACCTACAGCTACTTTGGACAGAGATTTTGGAAAATATTTACAATTATGTAAAGCATAAGGCAACCTTCTGGCCATCAGCTTCTTCTATCAGCTGCTCACAAGACTCCCTGAAAATTTGTGCTTTCCAAAAGATCCACCAAGGAGGAACTGCCAGATCCCAGCCTCCACATTGCAATGAGCTCAGTCTGGGTTAATTGCACATTGCATATCGGAAAACACCTTTTAAGGCTCCTTTTACTCCATTTTTGCAACTGCACTTGAAGGAAACGGAGGTTCAGAGGCTTCCTGTTCAAACGGACCACAGAGAGACCTTCTGAAAGCGACCTCCTCAACAGCTTCTTCACTTATCCCCCCGTATCCCCACCCCCGAGAAGCCTAAGCCGTGCGAGGAGGAGGCAGATGCAGCCCGGGGACGGAGCCCCCTCTGTCCCCCCGGAGAGAAGGGAGGGATCCGCTCTCTGCAGGCAACAATGGAGCCGGATCTCCCCGAGGAAAAGCCGGCGAGCCGAAGAGCGGGTTCCGCAGCTCCCTTCCTCCTAGCGGGGGGAGGATCTCCTGGCAGGAGGGGCGGCTTGGAGGCCGGAGGGAGAGCAGCCCCACCTGCCCCGAGCGTGATCCGGGAGCCTCTCCCGAGGGATCCAGCGCCGATCCTCCAAGGAAGAAGCGGGACTCGCATTGGGAAGCGGGGATCCAGGCCGAGGGAGGGGAGAGACGGAGGCGGGGCTTCTTCTCTCTCGAGGGATCCGCCCCTTGGCAGCCCCAACTCCGCCCCTCCCTGCCTCCAGAGCCTTGACTCCTAGTTACTCCGCTGGGCAGCCGTGTCTGGGGTTCCTCTGCCCATGGAAAGAGTGTCCCTCTGCACGCTGAAAGGGGGGCCGTTTCTGTGTCTCTGTGTGTGCGTGTGTTGCGCTTGTATGATGCCAGTGAGAGAGATCTCTTTTTAGGTTTTTCTGTTGAGGAACTCAGTTTGAAGTGCTAGTAAGGAGAGGCAAAATACATCTGCCTTTTTTGGTACTGTTGGAAGTTATCACCCAGCCCTCTCCCAGAAAAATATTTAATATCCTAGGAATTATTGAAAAGGCAGAATATTTATCTGGATGTGAAAAGGAAGGAACATATTTTAAGAGAGAATAGCTCCCTGTAGTTTCCTGCCCCCACCCACTTTGTCAATGGGCCATTAAGAAGGCCAAGCCAGTCCCTTTACATAATAAAGAGTTCTCCCTCTTCAGCTCCAAGGTGATGGGATTAAGGCATGATAATATTGGCACTTTATCCAACTCCCCACATGGCATCTGAGAACTCAACCAAACCTGGACTCCAAACGCAGCCTAGAGAGTTGCCTCTGCACGGCCCTGTGGGAGTCCGACAACCAATCAGAATACAAGCTCAAGATCAAAGGCCAGAGAGGGCATAAAACCAGGAACTCAGCATCTCAGCCCACCCTTCTCTTCTTCTCCACCAACATTGAAGCAAGTGATCACCTTTTCTGTTCAGGAGCTCAAGCCACGTGGTCCTGTCCACCATTAAAACTATCTTTCCAAGCAGCCTCCATGTCTCCAGTGTCTTTTTCCCCACTTGGAGTCCATCCCAGAAGGACATTTCTTCCAACAGCAGTATTTTCAATACTAAACCAAGATCAAGAGCATGAGGGCATAACTTCATACCGAAAGGATGGAATAGACCGATCAGATCCCACAGATTAGGCCTCCTCCGAATTCCATCCGCCGGCCAATGTCGACTGGCGACTATCCGGAGG